ATCGTGAAGCTGCATGGAGTTCTACCAGTATAGTCAGTGATCGTGATCCTAAGTTCACCTCTAAATTCTGGGAGTCCTTTCAGCGAGCTCTCGGTACGCAATTGAGGTTGAGCACTGCTTACCATCCGCAAACCGATGGGCAATCTGAACGAACTATCCAGGTTTTAGAGGATATGTTACGAGCGTGTGTCTTAGAGCATGGAGGAAGTTGGGATCAGTATATTCCTTTGATCGAATTCGCGTATAATAACAGTTATCATTCCAGTATTCAGATGGCTCCTTATGAAGCTTTGTACGGAAGAAAGTGCAGATCACCTCTGTGTTGGACTGAAGTAGGAGAGCGAAGTATTTTGGGGCCTGACGTAATTCAGGAAACCTCTGAGCAAGTAAAGAAGATAAGAGAAAACATGCAGCGAGCGCAGGCCAGACAGAAGAATTACTATAACAAGCGCCATAAACCCTTATCCTTCGAAGTGGGAGATCATGTATTTTTGCGAATCACGCCCACATCGGGTCTCGGCAGGAGAATGAGAGTCAAGAAATTAAGTCCGCGATATTTGGGGCCGTATCTGATTTTGGACCGGATTGGCGAATCAGCGTATCGTTTGGCATTGCCGCCTAATCTATCAGGAATTCATGATGTATTTCATGTATCGCAACTGAGGAGATACCTCTCTGATCCGTCTCACATTTTGCAACCAGAGGAAGTCGATTTAAGAGAAAATCTGACGTACCATGTTCAGCCATTTCAAATTATGGAAAGATCCGTTAAGCAACTTTGTTCTAAGGAGGTTCCGTTGGTGAAGGTGTTGTGGAACAACAAATCCGCAGCCGAAGCTACATGGGAACGTGAAGATGAAATACGGAAACACTATCCTGAATTATTTAATGAGTAGGTAAGTTCGAATTTTGCGGACAAAATTCCATTTTGGTGGGGAGAGTGTAACATCCCACGTAAATAGGAAATATATTATGTTGCTATGAGAATTTTGGGTATTATGTTCTTGTATGTGCTTTGTGCTTTGATTCGAGTATATAATTATTAGGAGAAAATTAATTTGAGTTAGGAAGTTTCTTGAAATAAATTAATTAGTCACATAAATTATGTTAGGCATGAGAAAGCTAATTTAGAATTATAGCCATAAGTTATTAAAAATAAAGTAAGAGGCAATAAATTAATTAAATGAATTTAATTAGTGATGGGCTGAATTATAATATAAGAGGAATTAGCATGTTGGGCCTTGTTTGGGTGAGAAGGTCGCTGGCCCATAGGATGATGAGTATTAGTCAGCTTAATTTAAAAACATTGGGGCTTATTGCTGATGGGCTAATCTCAATTGATTCCATAAGTTAGTATGTTGGGCCACAACAATTGTTTTGACCTGCGGCCCAAGAGTCTTGGAGCAGCAACTCAACCCAATTCACTTCCCCATTCAATCCAATTTCCCTCATCTAAACTCAACCCTAATCCAACTCCTTTTCTGTTGTACGCCTAGGGGAGACCAACCTCAGAAGAAAAATTCTGACTTGATCCTCTTTCTGCAACGCTTCTGACCAGCCTCACCTCTTCCCCTGTGCATGCGCCTAGAGGGCAGAAAAAGCTGACCTTGCTTGTTATCCTATGCAAAGAGCATTCAACTTTATAGAGACTTCTCCATCAGCCTCCTCTTGTGTGCTCCAAGAGTGAGAAACATATGCCACAGTTCTGATTTCTTGGTTCACTTTTAAATCAGCCTCAACTTTTCCCCTCTTTCTCTCTTGTACGCTGTATGCAAGAGAATCAACATCAGTTTCCCTTCTTGTTGTGCGCTATCTGTTGAGAAGAAAAAACAAAGACCAGTGTCATCAACCTCACCAAGCCATCCTGAACCGTGACCTTTCTTCCCTCTCATCACCCAACCAAACTTGTAAAATTATTTCCTGATTCTGTTTTTATTTTCCCAAAGCCGCAACATCATTGGGGTTCAAATGGAAGAACGATTTTCACTCTTCCTTGGGTTTCTGTTGCAGAAACCGTGAAACCTCTTTTGAAGCAGAAACGAAGATTCAACGTATATCTCTTCCCTCTGTTCAGCCGTACCTTCCTCCTCAAGAAGCTGAGGCGTTGGTGGCTGCCTAGTGGTCAAACGTGTGAGCGACTTGGGGTAGCAACAAGCAGAAATCTGAATCCATCTCTTTCTTCCTTTCTGTTCGGTATCGAAGGTAAATCAAAGGCTGAACCTTTTAACTTTTGTTCTGTTGTGATCTGCTCCTGCTGTAAAAACCGAACCCCTGATGATTTTAAAAAAAAAATGTATCTTATGTTAAGATTTAAAAATACTGCTACCGGTGGTGAATAAAGTGCGTCTGGATTAAATCGATTAAATTTAAACAGTACGGTTATGTCTTCTCCGAATCTGCCGGATGAGAACTCTTAGGATTCCCTCTGTTTTTGTTGTTAAAAAAATCCCTTTTGGAAGTCACACAACCTTTAGGGTAGGACCCTTCTTGGCCGCGGGTTGTAAAGGATATTTTTAGGCTTAGGAAGTTTTGGTTTAATGTTTAGGAAAGCTTGAATACTATGCTGATTTTTCTGTTTGAAATTAGGTGTCGTTAATTCGTGAGTTGGACATTTTCGCTGCTATTTGGAGTTGGTATTGTGACGTTTAAGGTAATTGTGTGGAGGCTCTCCTATTTATACTTGCTAGAAGGAACACGAGACGTGATCGTGGCTCCATGATTTGATATACTTACGCGTATTAATATTGATCGTCTTGAAATCTTGTTAATCTTGCTACATATATATGCTGCAAAGTCTAGTTATGATATAAATTATATGATCTAGACATTCATGTGCATCATGACATTTTATTTAGTATGCGGTATACGTCACAAAGCATAGCATTCGCGCATCAATTTCATATTGCTGCTGAAAAATTATTTTTGAAAACTATGCATATGGATGAGCATGCACCATTTAGGCATAACCTACGGTACCAAGGTCTTGGGACAGTTGGCTTCAGTCCACTTAGGCCACGGTCGGATCCCTTCTTGAGAAGCCATCAAGGGTAATCCACTGTGCTTGATAGTACGGCACTTTAGTGCTATAACGTACTCTTGGCGTTCTTACGCATCTTGTTTAGCATATGCCAACATGTATATATATATATATATGTGATAAATCTTGTTATGTTAATTATTTCGGTTTCTAGCTTATGCTTCTTGCATTTTGGTATTGTCTCTCACTACTGGGAAATATTTCTCACCCCTTTGGGGCTGCTGTTTTCTGATGTAAAATGGCAGGGGGACGCAAAAGTATTTGAGGTATTGCTATGAGATGTTTGTGCCATTTTGTTGCTGGATTCATGGCTATTTTGTTGAGTGGTTGGCTGTGTTGCAAGAAGGATAACTTGAAGTTTTATTATTATGTCATTTTGAATTTTTAAGAGTTGTTTACTTCTGTTTGGAACATTTCTGAACTAGTTATTGATCTTGAACTTTTGGTTTAATTGCTGTTTTGGATTAATGACTATAATTTTGGAAGTATCGAATTTTTCTGAAAACTGTTACCTTGCGAGCAACTTCTAAGTTGTCGTTCCGGGGCTACGAACCTCTGGATGCGGCATAATTTATATGCACGCGAAGCCCCTGAAATTTTCTCTAAGAATCTGCAGAAATCAAATTTTTATGGCAACTGTACGAATTTTGAAAAATAACGCACTACAGCAGGTTTTGAGAAAATTTGCAGAATTCGCGAGCAACTTGCGAGTTCGAGTTCAAGGGGCTATTCATCTCGGAATCGCGCATATGTTATATGGACGCGAAGCCCCGAGTATCTAGTTTCACCGTAGAAAAGAATTATTTCTATCCGGCATCAGATTGATTTTATATTAATTTTAGAGAACAGTACGTTTTTCTGGTAAAAAGAGAAATTTCAGCAAGTGCTCCTCTTTGAAACTTCCGCTGTTTTCATAAATAAAAAAATTTTAAATACAAGGTTTTTGATCTTGATTAATCCATAAAAGATTCATGCTGTTTAGTGTTATTCACGCGTTATAAACGAAATTTTTCCGCTGCGACTCTAATACAAGTTAGCTTTAGCACGTCTCTTGGATGCATACAAGAGGGGTGCTACACTAGACATTAATGAGAGAGAATTCCTACTAATGTTCATCCAGAACATTTGGCGCCGTCTGTGGGAAAGGTAAAACTATCCTTACTCATTTTCTTGTGTCATAGCAAGCAACAACCGTGACGAGCGAGCGGTGGAGAATGAAGAAAACAAAGGAAACGGAAGATTCTTTTCGATCCAGTGGAAGGAGTCGGTCCTTGAATACCATTGGAGAAGCTTTGATTCAGTTAGTGGAGGATATAAGGAATAGGCAGCATCAAGAGGAGGACAAATGAGACATTGTTTAGAAGAGAGGAAACTTGGAGAGAATGGGCAACAATGCGCCAATCGGAGGAGAGGTTCTCTGTCTCCTCTTCCTAGTTATATTTCGTTGTCACATCCAACTGTGAGAGAAAATGGAAGAACAGAAGTTCGAAGAGGGCAATTTTCTCGAGAGTCAAGGAGTCCTCCAGAAAGAATAAGTTACCAGTATAGAGGACGAGGTGTAGGCCGGAGAATGGAGGAGCGGACATATGATGAACATGCTTGGGAAACAAGAAGAAGTCGGTAGAATCTAGGCGTGGAGGATGCGCAAGCAGAATAGGAACATTGGGAGGAAGGGCAACCCCAAGTAGGTCGCCCGTATTATACTCGTCAGGAAGAACGAGGGACAAATCAAAGGCGATACGAGGAGGCTGATAGAAGGAAGAGGCCAGAAGGAGAAAAATGGTATGCTAATCATAGAGGTGAGTTCCCGCCTGAAGAGTCTGAATATTACTATTGGTGGGGAGATCAAGGCCAGAGAGGAGGATGGCAACAGGCGGGTAATCCCGTAACCAATACGGGTTATCAGTATAATGGGCCTGGCCGGCCAGAGGATTATGGCATTCATCATTATGGAGGGAAAATGATGAATATAAGGCGAGAAGGGCCAGGATGGAATGAGCAGCAGTGGAGAGCACCACAGCAGATGCAAGCACAACAAGGGATTCATGTGCAGCCTATTAACCAAGGGCCATCAGGAACCCCTTTGTCTTGGAGATTAAGGGCGAAACCAATTCCGACTTGGTTTAAGCAACCAAATGACATGAAGGAGTATGATGGAAGCTCGGATCCCAAGGAGTTTGTGACGGTATTCCGGGCAGCGATGTCGCTATGTGGAGAGTCAGATTCTTTGTTATGTCGAAAATTTCCTGTTTTTCTGAGAAAACAAGCACTAGAATGGTTTACGTCTTTACCAGATAATTTAATTGATAGTTGGGCGGAACTGTCCATTCGGTTTACACAACAATTTGCCCATTGTGGATCTCAGCCTAAAACCATGCATAATTTATGCGGAATAAGGCAAAAGCCCGGGGAGAAGTTGAGAGAATATTATGAATGCTTTCAAGCAGAAGCTAGGCAAGTCAAGGGGCTAGAGAATCAGACGTACCTGTTGTTATTTACTAATGGATTACAACCTGGAGGTATGGCAAACTCGTTAGCAAAGAAGTGTCCGGCTACGAAAAAAGAGCTTTTAGAAAGAATCCGGAAGTACATTGATTTAGAGGAGTTTAAATCCTCTCAAAAGAAAATTGAACAAGGTTTCAAGAAGCAACGCATAATGGGAGGCTTGATAGACCCGCAGGAAGAAGGCAGTTTGAAGAAAGGCGGTCGCGGTTGGTCGGAGAAAGATTTAGAGAAGCATACAGGAAGGAGTTTACACCGTTGAATACTTCTAGAGCTCAGATATTGAAGGAGGTGATGTATACTGAAGTGAGAAACGTGCCAAGGCCGCCACTTATTCGGTCGAGTTATGCGCAGGCGAATAAAACAAAATGGTGTGAGTTTCATCGAGGGTATAGGCATTTTACAAATGATTGTTTCAACTTACAGAATGTTATTGAGAGGTTGATTAAAGAAGGAAAATTACAAAAATACATGAGAAGAGGAGAAGGAGAAGGATGTAAAGATGACAAATACAGACGGCCAGATCGTAGTCGTAGCCCGCCTGGAGGGAGAAGCAGAGAAGCTAATAGAGATCAAAAGGCAGGAGTACAAGTATCACCTAGTCAGGTTCAGGTGGGGCACATATGAACTATAGCCGGAGGACGAGCAGGAGGCGGAGAGTCGGGTAATGCCAAGAAAAAACATTTAAAGATATGCATGGCTATTTCTGAAAAGCCGCGTTTTAAAGAAGAAAGACGGGCAAACAAGTAGTGTTTGAATACTTAGATGATGAGATTTTGGATCCGGAGCACGACGATCCTTTAGTGATTTCAGGATTACTAGCAAACTATCGAGTTGATAGAATGTTGGTAGATCCGGGGAGCTCGGTAGACATCATATTCTGGGATGCGTTCAGAAGAATAGATGTGGATTGTGATCAGTTGGAACCATGCGGGGCTGATTTGTTAGCATTCACAAGAGACAAAATTAAGCCATTGAGATATATTCCATTGAAGTTAACTTTAGGAAAGACGCCTAGACATAAGACAGTTACTTTGTCATTTACAGTTGTAGATTTGGGGTCCGCCTACAATATTATTTTGGGAAGACCGTTTACGAAGAAGTTTAAGATCTTCTTGTCAATATATCAGTTGGCTATGAAGTTTGTGGCCAAAGATGGGAATGTAGCTACGGTGAGGGCTGATCAAGTAGTTGCTCGGAGTTGTTATAATATGAGTCTAAGAATTCCACAGAAGGGTAAGAAAAGAAAAATGAAAGTAGAGCTAGAAGGAGGAAAATGGAAGGAGGAAATACCAGTAGATAGAGAAAGAGGAGCAAGTAATGGTAGTAGGGATGGATCCTCGAGCGGAAGATAATGGAGAGAAGCTAGAACCCGCTGGGGCGATGGAAGAAGTTCAATCGGGGATATCTCACGAGCAGTTTACAAAGGTAGGTTCCGAGCTGGAACCAGAGGTGGCAGTGGGCTTAAAAGAGTTGTTGAAAAAGAATGCTGATCTTTTTGCATGGAAACCCTCAGATATGCCCGGAATGGATCCCGCTTTGTCTTGTCATCGATTGGCAATAATTCCAGGTGCAAAGCCGATAGCCCATAAGAAGAGAAGATTTTGCTCAGAAAGGAGGAAATCAATTGAAGAAAAAACAAAGGAGTTGTTGGAGGCAGGGTTTATTAGAGAGATAGAATATGTTACGTGGTTAGCCAACCCAGTGTTGATTAAGAAGACAGATGGGAGATGGAGAATGTGCACAGATTATACAGACTTGAATAAAGTCTGTCCTAAAGACCCATTTCCACTACCGAGTATTGATCATCTGGTGGACAGGGCATCCGGGTATAAGGTGTTGTCTTTTATGGATGCATATTTCGGGTACAATTAGATACCCTTGTGGAAGGAGGATCAGGAGAAAACAACGTTTATAACTCAGAACGTAGTGTACTGTTACACTGTGATGCCATTTGGGCTGAAGAACGCAGGAGCAACTTATATGAGAATGATGAACAAAGTGTTTAAGGAGAAAATGGGTAAGTTGTTAGAGGTGTACATGGATGATATGATTGTTAAGTCGGGGGACGATAGGACGCATTTGGAACACTTGCAGGAAGTGTTCGAGCAAGTCAGAAAGCACAATATGCGTTTAAATCCAAATAAGTGCGCTTTTAGAGTTCCAGCAGGAAAGTTTTTAGGTTTTCTCCTAACAGAAAAGGGGATTGAAGCCAATCTAGACAAATGTAGAGCAGTGATGGAAATGAAGAGCCCGGAGAATATTAGAGAAGTCCAGAAGTTGAATGGGCGAGTAACGGCTTTATCCATATTCTTGGCTAAGTCAGCACATGTGTCGTTGCCGTTATTTCAATTGTTAAAAAAGGGTTGTAATTTTGTATGGACAGAGGAGTGTGAAGCCGCGTTTCAGCCCTTCAAGAAAATCTTAGCTTCACCACCAACTCTTAGCAAGCCGGAACCAGGCGAGTTGTTGTTTTTATATTTGTCTGTTTCACAGGAGGCAGTAAGTTCAGTTCTTGTCCGAGAAGAAAAAGATGGAAGGGAGAAACCGGTATACTTTATAAGCAAGGTACTGCAGGGAGCGAAAGTAAGATACCAGCACGTAGAAAAAGTGGTGTTTGCATTGTTAATTACAGCAAGGAGGCTTCGACAATATTTTCAGTGCCACCAAGAAGTAGTCAGAACCAATCAGCCAATAAAGCAGATGTTGCATAAGCCGGATCTTACAGGTCGGATGGTGGCATGGGCAGTAGAGCTATCTGAATTCAGCATTAATTTCGAAGCACGTAATGCGATCAAGGCGCAAGCTTTGGCAGATTTTGTGGTAGAAATGACGCACCCCAGAAGTAAGCAAGAGAATGGTTGGTGGAAATTATTTGTAGATGGGTCATCCAACAAAAGGGGCAGTGGAGTAGGAATTATAATAGAAAACCCGGAAGGAGTGACAGTAGAGCATTCGTTGACGTTGGAGTTTTCCACAAGTAACAATTAGGCGGAGTATGAGGTAATGATTGCCGAGTTAATTCATGCAAAGGAGCTGGGAGCAGAATGTTTGGAGGTATACAGTGATTTGCAGTTGGCAACTTCACAAATTAGTGGGGTGTACCCGGCTCGGAGGGAGATCATGATCAAGTATTTAGCAAGAGTACAAGAGTTGATGAGAGAATTTAAAGAGATCCGGGTGGAACACATTCGGAGAAACGACAATGTTCGAGCAGACGTTTTGTCAAAATTGGCAAGCACTAAAGCCACAGGAAACTTGAGGACAATTATACAACAGAGCATTCGGGCTCCGAGTGTAGTGTCAAAGGCGGAATCAGGGGGCTAGGGTGGGCCACCGCCCCCCAAATTTCAAAATATATATATATATATATATATATATATATATATATATATATATATAATAAAATTTAAATAATATTATTAAATTATTTGTTTTAAAAATTTTATAATATAAAATTACTCCTCATAACACCATCAATATCATACTACACTCAATCTTTTTTTTTTTTTTCCCAACCCATTTTTCTCTTTCTCAACTTTATTTATATGCAGTTTGTTTAAAATGTTTAAAGCCACATGTGAAGTTCTTGATAATATTTCTAATGAAGGAAAGACAACATCACATCGTGGAGATGCAGATAATGCATACTCATCATTGTTGACATCTTTTGATTTTATCATCATATTGCACCTTATGAAAGAAATTATGGGTATTACTGATGTCCTTTTCAAGCTTTGCAACGAATGTCTCAAGATATTTCAAATGCTTTACATCTGGTTTCAACTACAAAAGAGTTACTTCAGAAATTAAGAGAGACAGGTTGGGAAGCTTTCTTGGTTCATGTTCAAGAATTTTGCATAAAACATGACATTGACATTCCAGATATGAGTGCAAAATATATTGGAAGGAGAGGTCGTGCTCGAAATGAACAAGGTGTTTTTTCTACTGAAAATTTTTATAGGGTAAATGTCTTTTGTGCTACAATTGATTATCAATTGATAGAATTAAATAGCAGGTTCAATGATAATACTATAGAATTACTTGCTTTGAGCATGGCTTTAAATCCAAGAAACAGGTACAAGTCATTTAATAGTGATGATATTTGCAAACTTGTTGATAAATTTTATTCTAGAGATTTCACAGAAGAGGAAAAATTGCATTTGAAGATGGAGTTACAACATTTTGAGCTTGACATTCCTAAACATCCAGATTTGATTAATTTATCAACTACATCAGAATTATGTCAAGGGCTAGCAAGAACTGGAAAGTCTATTATTTACCCTCTTATTGATAGAGTGATTAGACTTGTACTCACTCTTCCAATTTCTACAGCAACTACTGAAAGATCTTTCTCATCTATGAAGATAATCAAGACCAGGCTTCGAAATAGAATGGAAGACCAATTTCTTGATGATTCTTTGATTACATACATTGAAAAAGAAATTGTTTTGAGTTTTAGCACGGATTCAATTATAGATGAGTTTAACAATATGAAAACACGTAGAGTAAGAGTTAAGTGAAGTGATCTTAATTTTTGTAATAGATTTCTTTCAATTTTTTTGCATATTAGGTCTGAATTGTATTTGAAGTACTTTTATTTTTGAAGAAGTATTTTTATTTTTTGCCCCCTCTCAATAAAATTCCTGGGTCCGCCACTGTGTAGTGTGGATGGTAGAGGAGGTAGATTGGAGAAGTCCAATCCAGGGCTTTTTAGAAAGAGGAAAGGAGCCCAGAGAAAAAATGGAAGCAAGTAGGCTGAGGAGAAGAGCGGGATGGTTTGTAGTGATAGAAGAGCAGTTGTATAGTGTAAGAACATGCACCGTTAATTTAGGAAATTAAATTGATTAAATATTAAAATTAGGAAATAATTTCATAATTGACCCTAATAATTATTATAAGGCTTAAATAATTATGGTAAGTGATTATATATGCTGAAAGTCGCTTTTCTGACGAAAAGTGCAGATACCGGTTTTGCTTCACGGTAAAAATGCGTACCGATAAAGTATCCCGAAAAATTATGAAAACTATGTATATGTCACTAGAATAATATATAGGACTCGCATAACAAGTTTCAGGTCAAAATAAAGAGAACTGGTGCTAGAACTGATACTGGCTATGTAAAAGCGCGTACAGGAAAAGTACTGAGAAAAATAAAATAAAAATATGAAAAATCTTATAAAAATGAGTAGGTTCAGATTTCTAAGTTTGGGATTAAAATGCTAAGCGTAGCTATTATTGCTAATACAGTGTGGTTAGACTTGATGAGGCTATAAATAACCTTTGGCACAAAGACCTAGGTTTATTCTGATTGCCTCCAACGTGAAATTCTGAGCTTGTGAGTGCAATGATAAACCCTTGGTTTAGCATAGTTCTAGGCTTAAATATACTTGAAATATATCATGAATTGCATGGAAATTAGGGTTTTATACCGTAAAATCACAATAATTGAATATATTGCTAACATCTTGTAATATTTCTGATTTCAAGGGATTTTAACGCGCATTATAAATTTTTAGAGCCAAAGGAATGCAACTTGATGAATCAAAGCCTCAAGGAAGCAAGATTTCAAGTGCGTACCAGTTGAAGGAGGATGTTTTGGCGTCCAAGAAGCACATTTAAAGGCTCAAAATGAAGAAAACCACAACAACTCCCTGGACCAGAGCGTTTTGGCGGCCAAACAGAGCGCCAAAACGCTCCAGAAGCAACAAGATACCTTTCGAAGAGGACGTTTTGGCGCCCAACAGCACGCCAAAACGCCCATAGGCAGACAACAACACACTGTGAGAACGTTTTAGGGCACAACAGCACGCTAAAACGTCTATGCACAACCATATCTAAATCCAAAAGAGATCTTATATCTTTATCAAGATATGCATCAGATTTTACAAATAAATACAAAGTGGAAACAAATCAATCTTGATTGAGAATAGATATGAATCCATGGGAAGATACGATGGAAGATCACAACAAAGATTCAAAGCTCAAATCTGTCAACCAATCTTCAAGATCTTAAATGCAAAGAGGAAACAATTATAGAATCAATTATAAATCTGATACAGATTCGTTGGGAGATGCAATGAAGAATGTGGCTTTGAAGATTATAAATAAGGAGCTTGGGGTCAAGACCAAGACACCCATTCACATGCTCATTCATTACAGTCACAAGTCCAGAGAACCGGAAGGAGGAATCCTGTTGCGGAGCACTGGAACACTGAGGAACCAAGTCAACATCACACCAATGGAGGCTTGGGTTCTCTTTTCTTTACCATTGTTTTTCAATTCAGTATGCTAGGCTAGATTTTTATGTAGTTAAGGGTAGATGGAACCCAATTGAATCTTTATGTTCATGAATTAAATTGTCTCTGAATTCTTTTCTTTTTATAATTGAATACATTTATCTGTTTTTAATGCTTTCTATGAGTTTGCTCCTTATAGAATGATTTTGGGGAATTGTATGACAATAGGGATGTTGGTGCATGAACCCTGACTTGGTAAATTTATCATAATCCTTGTGATCTAGGGATATACATAGGGTAATTATGCAATCTTGGAATTCTTGATCTTAATGCATGTTTTCTTAGGGAATAATCGGGGAACTAGCGTTCTTTCAAGATTACATAGATTTATGGTAACAAAGAATTGAGCCGTAATTAACTTAGAAAGAATTGATTGGCAATATATTAAGAAACAAGTTCTTGACTCTTTAATTTATAACATATTGAGGATATTGGGGGAAGTCGAAACCTTAACTACACTTGTTTTAATTCTTAATCAATTATCATCTTTTCACATATTCTTTTTGATTCTGAGTTTTTATTTTATTACTTGTCTTTAATTTTTAAGTTCTTTAGTTACAAATTCTCTCAAAACCAATTCTTGATTGTCCAACTAAAACGTGATTAGCTAACTAGTGCTTGAAATTCCGATCCTTGTGGGAATGATCTCGTACTCCGGTACACTTTATTACTTTACGATCAGTGCACTTGCCGAGTCGCAATAAGTTTTTGGCGCCATTGCCGAGGATCAAATTCTTCAACATTAGAAGTAACTAATTAACTTTTAGATTGGACGTTTTTATTATCTGCACTTTAAACATTTTTCAAAAATATTTTTCTGCATCAATTTTCTGCATATTTATTTTTCTGCATTCTTTGTTTATTTTTATTATTTTTCTGTTTTTCTGTTTTTTCTTTTTCTATTTTTTCTGCACATCTTTTCAATCTTAGTTTATGCGAGGTACTCTTAACCCGCGAATTTTGCAGTTTGATCCTGAGATAGAAAAGACAGAAAGGAAACTTAGAAAGGACGCAAAAGAAAGAAAAGAAAAAGAAGAGAAAGAAGCATCAAGTTCGATGGAACCTAATGAGGAACTGATGGCAGAAAACAATCAACTCGCTCCAAGGACTTTGGAGGATTATATGACTCCAGCCCGAGTTCCGCAGATGGTGCGCATTGTTAGACCGGCCATAGAAGCTAACAACTTCGAGCTGAAGCCGGCGCTGCTACAACTGATTCAAAAAGAACAGTTCGCTGGAGGAAGCACAGAGAACCCCTATAGTCATCTTTATGATTTCCTATTTTACTGCGATACATTAAAAGTGAATGGAGTTTCTCGTGACGCTATCTTGCTCAGACTATTTCCATGCCTACTGAAGGATGATGTAAAAACCTGGCTGCAGTCTCAACCTGAAGGAAGCATAACCAGTTGGGATGATTTAGCAAGGAAATTCTTGGCCAGATTTTTCTCAGCTTCAAAGATGGCAAGACTCGAATCAGGAATCACCTCTTTTGAACAAAAGGAAAGCGAATCTCATTACGAGGCTTGGGAGCAATTTAAGGGATTACTCAGGAAGTGTCCTCAACATGGAATTGAAGCATGGGAGAAAGCAAGAATCTTTTTCCAAGGGATGACGTCCAACACAAGAACACTGGTAAATGCTGCTGCAAGAGGCTCCTTGAAAACTAAAACTCCAGAGGAAGCGCTAGAATTGTTGGAATCCTTAGCTTCTCAAGAATTTGACAATGCCCCAGTTGCACAAAGGAGAGCAGGAATTCTGAAGCTCGACGGCTTTGATGCAATCTTAGCCCAAAATGAACAAAAGCTACAAATGCACAAGAAACAACAAGAACAATTAGATGCTCTTACTACAATTTAATATTTCTCAAGTTTCTTCTATTAGTAATTCTCAAATTAACTGTAGTATTTGTGCAGAGGCTCATGCGATTGAAGATTGTGACTACATGAGAATAGCAGAAAAGTCACCAGCGGAGGCAATGGTATCTGGTACGATCAAAAAAACCAGAACAATCCTGGAAGAAACCAATATGGTAATCAAGGGTGGAAAAATCCTAACCAACACCCTGGGTTTAGTTACAAATCAAGCCATCAGCTAAACACTCCTTTGCTATTGCAACAACAACCTCCACCTCAAGGCAACACTTCAGAATGGGAAAGGGCTTTTGCACAGCTGCCCAAGACCACATCAGACTACATTCAAAACGCAGATGCCTTCAGAGATGAAACACGAGCATCATTCCGGAATCAAGAAGCTTCTATCCGCAATCTGGAAACTCAAATAGGCCAGCTGTTAAAGCAATTTGCGGAATAAACGCATGGCACCTTTCCAAGTAACACCGACACGAATCCAAATGCACAATGTAATTCAATTGTTACCAGAAGTGGGATCGTGGTCCAACCTGTAGAAAAGCCGCCAGTGGAGAAGAAGAAAGAAGTAGAACCTGAAGCTGAAAAAGAGAAAGAAGAAGATGCAGGAGAAGCTGAAAAGAGCAGTCCAGAGAAGAAGCTGTTCAAATGGGAGAAAAAGAAAGCTCTAGACCGGCAACCAAAACTGGCAAATCCATCTCCCTATGCACAAGTGCCATACCCTCAGCAGTTGAAGCAAGAAATCCAGAAACAACAATACACCAAATTTCTGGATATCTTCAAGAAGCTGCAAGTGAACATTCCTTTCGCAGAAGCCCTGGAAAGCATGCCTAACTATGCGAAGTTCATGAAAGACCTTCTGTCAAAGAAGTGCAAGCTGAAGGAGTGCGAAACAGTGGCCCTGACAGAGGAGTGCAGTGCAATCATCCAGAAGAAACTTCCTCCCAATCTAAAAGATCCAGGCAGCTTCAGTATCCCTATAGCAATAGGAAATATTGAAGTAGGAAAAGCACTATGTGATCTGGGAGCGAGTATAATCATGATGCCACTATCCATGTGCAGAGCTCTTGGAATCAAGGAGCTCAAGCCGACAACAGTTTCTCTACAGTTAGCTGACAGATCAATCAGACGACCAGATAGGGTAATTGAAGATGTTTTAGTTAAAATTGGCAAATTTATCTTCCCTGCAGATTTTGTAATTCTGAATATGGAAGAAGATGCCGAGATTCCCCTTCTGCTCGGGAGGCCATTCTTATCCACTGCAAGAGTAATGATCGATGTGGAGCAAGAAAAACTGATGCTGAGAATGAACGAATAAACAGTCACCATTGATGTCTTCGAATCAATGAAACATCCATCAGACGAAGGAGACTATTTTGTGGTTGACATAATACAAGAAGCAATTGATGATACGATGAAACAGGAGAGCTCCCCACTTGAGTTAGAACAAATCAATGATGACGCTGAAGAAAAAGAACCAGTGGTGGAAGAATTAGAAAGAAAGAAAGATGACATCCTTCTTGGAGCACCGAAGGTGGAGCTTAAGGAGCTACCTCCAAATTTGAAGTATGTTTTCCTTGGTAACAAAAACACATATCCAGTCATCATCAGTAATGAGCTGTCAACCATGGAAGAAAGAAAACTTCTCAAGGTGCTGAAGAAACACAAAGCTGCAATAGGATGGTCCTTCTCCGATTTAAAAGGTATAAATCCTTCCTTTTGTAATCATAAAATCCTAATGGAAGATGATATAAAACCTGTTAGGCAGCCGCAAAGGAGACTCAATCCAACCATGAAAGAAGTGATAAGTAAAGAGGTAGTTAAACTGTTAGATGCAGGGATGACCTATCCTATATCCGACAATGCATGGGTAAGTCCTGTACAAACGGTACCCAAGAAAGGTGGAGTCACCGTGGTAAGAAATGAGAACAACGAGTTGATTCCAACAAGGACAGTAACCGGGTGGAGGATGTGTGTTGACTATAGAAGACTTAATGCAGCCACTCAGAAGGACCACTTCCCAATTCCTTTCTTGGACCAGATGTTGGAGAGACTAGCTGGCCATGCCTTCTACTGCCTCCTGGATGGGTACTCGGGCTACAACCAAATAGCAGTAGCTCCAGAAGATCAAGAAAAGACAACATTTACATGCCCCTATGGAGTCTTCGCTTACCGGAGGATGCCCTTCGACCTGTGCAACGCTCCTACAAATTTTCAAAGGTGCATGTTATCTATCTTTTCTGATATGATTGAAAAATCTATTGAGATCTTTATGGACGATTTTTCTGTTTTTGGCCCCTCTTTTGACATTTGTTTAGAGAATTTATCTTGTGTTTTACAAAGATGTCAAGAGAGTAATCTTGTTTTGAATTGGGAAAAATGCCACTTCATGGTAAAAGATGGCATAGTTTTAGGACACAAGGTGTCCAAAGATGGTATAGAAGTTGATAGAGCTAAGATATCTGTTATTGAGAAACTTCCCCCTCCCTCTAACGTTAAAGGCATTCGAAGTTTTCTCGGTCATGCAGGGTTTTACAGACGCTTTATCAAGGACTTTTCCAAGATAGCAAAGCCACTATGCAAGCTGTTGGTCAAAGATGAGGAATTCAACTTCACAGATGAATGTTTGTTAGCATTTAATATTTTAAAAGATCGATTGACCACTGCACCTATAATCACTGCACCATATTTCACACTACCTTTTGAATTAATGTGTGATGCTAGTGATTATGCTATAGGAGCTGTCTTAGGACAAAGAAAGAATAAATTGTTGCATGTGATTTATTATGCTAGTAAAATTCTGAATGATGCACAAATGAATTATGCAACCACTGAAAAAGAATTACTAGCAGTTGTCTATGCATTTGATAAATTTAGACCGTATTTGCTGGGGTCTAAAGTAATTGTTTACACTGATCATGTTGCTTTAAAGTATTTGTTGAATAAGCAGGATGCAAAGCCACGATTGCTTAGGTGGATGCTACTCCTTCAAGAATTTGAAGTCGAGATCAGAGACAAGAAAGGTGTGGAGAACTTGGTGGCTGATCACCTCTTCAGAATTCAAGAGAAAGATCTTCAAGATGGACCTGAGCTGAAGATCAGAGAAGAATTCCCCGATGAGCAAATTTTGGCCATCAATGTTATCTCGAATCTACAATGGGAAGAAGTAAAGATCACAAGTACACCTCCATGGTTTGCGGATTTTGCAAACTTCAAAGCAGCAGGAGAAATTCCAGTAGACTTCACATGGCAACGAAGAAAGAAGTTTCTACATGATGTCAAGAAATACCTATGGGATAAGCCCTTTCTGTTCTACAGATGTGCTGATGGAGTAATAAGGAGGTGTATTCCAGAAGAAGAAATGAAGGACATCCTGTGGCACTGTCATGGTTCAAGCTATGGTGGACACTTCGCAGGAGAAAGAACAGCCGCAAAGGTGCTAATGAGTGGCTTTTATTGGCCAACACTCTACAAAGATGCAAGGAAGTTCGTGGAATCATGTGATAGATGTCAGAGAACGAGGAATATCTCTAGAAGACATGAAATGCCCCTCAACAAGATATTGGAGGTTGAAATCTTCGATGTGTGGGGAATAGACTTCATGGGAGCCTTTCCTCCCTCATATGGCAACAAATACATCCTTGTTGCGGTTGATTACGTCTCCAAGTGGGTTGAGGCTGTTGCCTTTCCTACTGATGATGCTCGGGTGGTCATCGCGTTCTTAAAAAGAAATATATTCGTTCGATATGGAGTACCACAAGCAATCATAAGTGATGGTGGAACACACTTTGACAACAGACAAGTGGAATACATGCTGGCTAAATGCGGAGTGAAGCATAAAATTGCAACACCATATCATCCGCAAATAAGTGGCCAAGTGGAGATTTCCAACCGAGAGCTGAAGCGAATCCTGGAGAAAACAGTGGGAAGTTCGAGAAAAGATTGGTCCAAGAAACTTGATGATGCACTATGGGCATACCGGACTGCATTCAAGACACCAATAGGTATGTCCCTCTTCCAATTACTGTTAGGGAAAGCTTGTCACTTACCGGTAGAATTGGAACACAAAGAACTATAGGCAATCAAGTATCTGAACTTCAACTCCAAGACCGCAGTTGAAAAATGATTACTTCAATTGGATGAGCTCGACGAGTTTAGACTCTCTGCGTACGAGAGTGCAAGCCTGTACAAAGAGAAGACGAAGAAGTGGCACGACAGGAAGATCCTGCCTTGAGACTTTAAGGTGGGGAATCAGGTATTACTTTTTAACTCTCGCCTCCGTCTCTTCCCTAGGAAACTAAAGTCCCGATGGTCGGGACTGTTCATCGTAAGGAACATGAAATCATATAGAGCAGTGGAGATTAGTCCGCTGGATTCCGATAGAAGCTTCACAGTGAATGGTCAACGGCTAAAACTATACATGGGAGGAGAAATAGACAGGGGAGCAACCACCGTTGCCCTTGTAGAGGTAACTTGAACCTGGTACGTCAGGCTCGTGACATTAAACAAGCGCTAATGGGTTGGCAAACCCACAGTTTGCTGTTTAAATTTTTTATTTTATTTTAATCGTTTATTTTCAAGAAAACTAAACAAAAAGAGATAGATAAGTGAGACCGAGGTCGTGGCTAGGTTTAGGAAGAAGAAACGACGACTCAAGAGGCTAAGGTATGAACTTTTTAAGATTAATATAAAAATGTTCCTGCCTTCTAGCGTTTTAACGCTCATCAGATCGCCAAAACGCTGAAGAAGAAAGCAAACCTGAGCTTCGAAGAGCACGTTTTAGCGGCCACATGCGCGCTAAAACGTGATAATAAAGGGAAAACGGACACAATTGTCACTGCCCTTTAGCGTTTAAACATTAATCAGAGCGCTAAAACGCTCTAGAAAGGCAAAAAGAAGGGACCGAAGAGCGCGTTTTGGCGAGCTCCAGAGCGCTAAAACGCGCTCATGCACTCAAAGGGGCCATGCTCTCTGCCACTGAGCGTTTTAGCGGCCATTGTACACGCTAAAACACCCATACTCGGCCCAGTTTTTTTAAAAAAACCTTTTTATTCCCCCCCCCCCCCCTTCATTTCTGCACATATCCTTCTCTCACTCTCAATTGGCACACCATCCCCAAATTGCATTCTCACCTCTGCAAGTTATCTCCCTCAAGCTTCTTTTCCTGCATTCTTAGACAAGGAAATCCAGGTAAATTCTTCCTCACTATCTTTAATCTTGGCTTTCAAAGTAAAATTCTGAATGGGATTCAAGGAGAATAGGGTTTCAAACATTAAAATAGGACCTAGAGTTTAATGGATTAAGCTGCTGTTGCTAAATACGGTTGAATGTAACTTGCACATGATTTTTTTACTTTGATGATTGTTGTGTACAATGTGCATCGGAATAGATTTTTACATGTCCACATAGGTTAATATTTTTTACATTCATATGAAGCACACAATGTGTTTGATGAAATGCATGAACCACGGTTGAAGAAGTAGGCCATACATCAGTAGTTCCATTTAATTATCATTGAAGCTATACTAATCCTTAGAAATGATAGGCACTATGACTTATGATTCCATAGGATTAAACTTAATAAGCTTGGTGTACAATGGAGTTGTGATATTTTGCATCCTTTAAGAATACTTGTTGAGATACTTGTTTCCAGAAGAAAAAAAAAATTGAACAACTTAACCCCATGATTAAATTTACAGAATACATCATGAATTGTTACTGGATTGTTGCATGGTTGAAACTGTTTTAATGGGGGATGCAAACATCATCATCAAAGTTAAATTGATGCATGCTTAAATATCTAGGTAGCAAGATTCTGAGCTACAATTATAACAGCAAAATTATACACAGAAATGAGAACAACCTTTTCAGAAATTTGTTTCATAAACTGATATTAACTTGGAAATGAATTTCTGTTTTACAGATATGTCTACTAGGAACAAAAACCCAAAGCGGACCAAGGTGAACCCACGGGGAGGATCCAGTTCTAGGCCAGCAGCTGAAGCTGGCTATGATGAGCACCGGTTCCGATCCGAAGCTCATGCAAACAAGTTCACTGAAATGATTAAGAAGAAGCCCTTTGTTCGAGAAAGGGAATTTTATCTGAAGCAAGGACAGCACCCGGATTTCTACAATATCATGGTGGCCCGAGGATGGAGAAAGTTCGGGAGACTTACCGTACCAGCAATAAAGGAGCTGGCCAGAGAGTTCTATGCCAATGCTTACACAGTTAAGCAAGGGGCAAATATGGAGTATGTGAGCTATGCCAGAGGGAAGGAAATATTCTATGACTCTGACATTATTCAAGACCTTCTCCAG